CGCGCCTTGCACATTATCCTTCCTTATGCAAGCTACAACAGTGCGCTCAAAGAGGCAGGCATCTCCTCTCTTTACGACAGGAGAGCATCTCTATCGTTTGATCTTTTTAATGACATTGTTCTTGACATTAATCACAAGCTCGCAGGTCTGCTCCCACCTAAAGCTGAGCACCACAGGCAGCTGCGCAACAATAGGAAGTTTAACGTGCCAGTGTGCAAGACTGATCATCTGAAAAAATCTTTTATTGTTAGCCATAGCCTAAGGATGTAAAAACATATGTTTAAGTATGTATATTTTTTAACACAAGATCATCCAAAGTTAAGCTTTTTTATTAGATTTGTATATTTTTATTATTAAGATTTTCAAACTATTTTAACTATGAATTTTGTTTCTTGTATATTATACACGTAATTCAGTCTTCGGACTGCGAGGTGTTTCTTTTTTAACAAAAGATTATCCATCTATCTAGAATATTAATTCAGGTATGACAACCATTAAGAACCTCATGAATAATCATGGAGTGGAGTATTTAAACGCAAAATAGTTTTCAGCTGTCATTTTTTGCATGATGTTTCCCTAAAGTTTAAAAACTCGCTGTGGTCGTTCGCTGAAATTATAACCTACGGGCGCCTTCTGAGAACATGCTATTCGTAATCTACTCCTTCATTCTCACCGTTTTGGCTTTCTTTATACCAGAAGGACAAGGTAAGATTTTCCTACAGTTCTTGGTTTAAACATCTTAATAATTTTTTTCCTAATCTTTTAGCCTTGTATATAGAATATATTACTTTTTTATTCTTATTATTGAAAACAACTGAATCTTGAAATATCCGCTCATTTGAACTCAACTGAAATTGCCTGGTTTGTTCAACTGAAGACTCTACAAAGCAGTGAAACTTTTCTGGTCTCGTAATGAAACCTCCTATTTCTTCAAAACGAGAAAAATAGCGTTTGGTGGACATATATAGCTACCGCAAAACCTAGTTACAGATTAAAAAGAAAGGAAACAGCATTGCTTCAAACTAGGCTCTTAAACATGTTATCTATATTAAAACCTGGCTTTTTGTACAATTTGGCTCCCAAGTTGATCTAAAGGTTGGCTCATAATTCAGATCGAAATCGAAATCGAGGACAGGTGGTTTGGACAAGAAAATTTTCTTAACCAAGACGACAGTTGACGTTCTAGGATTTATTATTCCTGTCATGTTCTCTCGGTTTGTTTTTCATGATACGCAGTATGGTCGAGGGCTAAATTCATACGACATAACAACATACACTTTTGCAGGAATTGACCGGTATAAAAATCTCCGCGACAATCAACATACTCAGACATTTCGTTGGAGAATATTTATTTCTTGAAGCTTTCGCCATTATTAGAGGAACCCTCACTGTGCTCTGTTCTGCTTAAAGCACGCAAGAAGCGGCTAGAGCACGGAAGAAGTGTAGGGAGAAACACGGGACGTAGTGGTGTGTTTCTCCCCACTTCTTGAGTGCTGTAGCCACTTCTAAGTGCTTTACACCAGAACAGAGCACAGTCAAAGCTTCTCTATTTGTTACGTAATAAAGACTAGATTAAATTCCTCACGCATTACTTTCAATTTTCACAACAAACTATATTTCCAGAGCGAACAACGGTGTAGTCAGCATGCTCTATACTCTCATAAAGCAGGCTGCAATAAGCCAGTCAGCATCCTCGTTAGTTCAAGTAAAGTCTGATTGGTTGAACAAGACTGGAGCTTTCACAAATGCCAAACTATCTAATTTACAAAACATCAAAGTTCACAATCTGCAATAGTTTCCAAACTTAAATAGTTGGGCGGGCCGAGTTTAACAGTTTTGTCTGAAATGTTTTGAATTACTCTTGATACAAATGGGAATCTGAGCGTGAAATGTTCTGTGAAATCTGGCATAATTGTGGCTCATTGAAATATGAAAGTTTTTTCACATGGGAATTAGAAAACAAACTGCTAAAGGCATGTGTTCTATGAATGAACGACGGTCGAATTCACAGGAAAAAGAAGATTGCTCGGGATGACAGTGCCGAAGAAATTGACTGCTTTGACTGATGTATCCTTCCGCACAACGCATCGGGAAGGATATCAGAGCAAGCTCTTAATTTACTTCACTCGTAGGGCGGCCGATGTGATTTCTGAGGCTTTCTTCATTGCGATGATCAGAGATCGCCATGATGAGCTAGCTGCGATGGACCTCAGCATGACCGCAGTCGCTCTGACATCATGATTTGTATGAATATTAACAGTTATGCCAGTTTGGTTATATTTTCAAGTTTCATCCTATCTGTTTTGTTCTGTTTTGTTTTTGTTTTTATATAATAGACGAGTGTCAACTGTGTTTGATTTTTAATTGCCGTACGTAAGTTTTCAATCTAACGAAGAGTGAAAACCTACAAAAATCGAACTGTCCATTTCGTTTTCTCTGAGGATGTTCGTCTCTGCGCCCTGTTATTATAATTATGCAAATAACGGTGCTTGGCATGTTTACAAACCTCTGTTTTGTTCTTCTGTCGCTACTTGTCGGGCTCTTTTTTTCCCGAAATTTCACTTTCAATTAATAAAATAAGGTGGGCAAAATACAAATTGGCAGATAGCTTGACAGCTTAAGCTCAGCTCTGTGCTCTATACTCTAGGAGAGAAAGCCTTTTTAACCAATGACAGCGCGTGTTATATCCCAGCTTCATCCTAACAATAGATAAAAACGAATCACTCTGGGTATCAAAAAAGTCATTCATTGATTTTGCCAACAATTGATCGATCACGATAGCTAAACAGTCCCAAAGGAAGATAAAATTGCAATGATTACTCAGGGTACAAATTAGAATCACTCGATTGGTGTTGTTCCCATGGCAACAACACACACAAAAAAAATAAAACAGTAATTGGCCACTACACAGCTCTAGAGTTCGAGTTTCAGAAGACGTGTTCAGTATTACATAGCAACTTCTTAACCTAACATAATTGTTCACTAGGTAACTGCCGTAATTTGAAGTTTACCAGTTTTCCTAAACCTGACTACCGACTGGAGAATCACACGGTTCGAACTATTGAAGTATTGGACGAGGATCTTTGCAGGGTGCAATGCTACTTGGAACCTAACTGCGTCAGTTACAACTTCCATACGATAAGATATCTGTCTGGAACATACAAGTGCGATCTGAATAACGCTACCATTAAACACGATGAAGATCTGGTGACGAATGAAAGTTATATTTACCGCGGAACTGAAGTAAGGACGATTATTAGCTAAGAGTATGAAACTCTTTGTTTCGTTTAATTTTCGTTACAAGACTGAAGATTCCCTAGTCCATTCCACTGCTCTTAATTCTCTTTCCAACCACCAAAATAAAGGTTATGATAATTTCACGTTTAAACTTTTAAATAAAGGATGAAGAGAAGCATATTTTTTTTTATCAATTTAAAATGACCATCTCCGGAGCTGTTTTGATACACTTTGAGGAGTTAGACACATTTGTTCTCGCTCTGAACAGTGTCACGCGTGAAAAGGGAACCATGTTCAATGCAGACATTTGCGTGAATAACAAGCAAGCTTGCGTGGAGCATATAAAAATCAAAATGAGAGTACACACAAGGACCTTTAGAGAAGACGTATAGATTTGACAAACCTGCATAACATTTAACCCAAATATGTAAATGCCCCATTCTCTTTTTTCTTAAGAATGTTTGGGCCAGAAACCCATGCAAGAAAAATGCAACATGCCAAGCTGGGTTTACAGACAGAGATTATCAGTGTTTATGTGTTCTTGGATCTGGATTTGGAGGCCATGATTGTGATGAAGGTGAGGAATCCTCTTCAATTTATTGCAACTACCACCCACCCCCTCCCCTCCTCTCCCCACCACCAAACGTTTCTGAGGTGACACTAAGATCCCAATCAATAAATACAAACAAAGAAACAAACATTAGCGAGAAAAACACGAGACAAAAAAAACAGTTCTCATTTTAATAATGATTCATTTTTAATGTTTTAGATTTGGACGAATGTACTGTTGGAACACACGAATGTGACGAAAATGCTGAGTGTAACAATACCTTGGGATCTTACAAGTGTACTTGTAAAGATGGATTTCAAGGAAATGGAATCAACTGCACAGGTTGTTAGTTGTAACGTCTCATGAAAACAGTTAGTTAGTAAGATGATGAATGTGAGACCAGTTTTCTCCACGTCTCTCCACCCTTCCCCATTATTTCGAGGACTAATCTGCTGTGCGGTTTGAGATTGGGGGCGAATGAGTTCAAAACAATCGCTAACCAATCATCTCAGTCGTAAATCTTTGTCTTTCATGTCAGTGACAAGGAATTGCACAAGCTGAAATGTAAAAGCAGGACCACACGATAATCTTTGTTACTTCTCAAGGCTACAACGTCTTCAGAATACAGCAGCGCGTTTAATTACTTTCACGCCTAAATTCGATCACATACTGCCGGTTTTGTTCAAGTTTCATTGGCTTCCTGTTGAATATAGAATTCAGTGTAAAATAGGTTCACTGAATTTCAAGGCAATTAATTTTACAAAGCCACAGTATTTGAGTAACTTGTTGTTTATCAAGGAAAATAGCAGGTACTCTTTACGGTCGGCGTGTAATGGTCTGATACTTGAAGATCCTAGTTATAGGTTTAAAGTTACATTGGGTGACCGATCGTTCAAAGCATTTGCCCCAAGAACTTGAAATGGACTACCAAGAGAGATAAGAGACCAGAATAATATAACCACGTTCAAGACAATGCTAAAAACACATTTATTCAGAAGAGCATATTTCACTTTTCTCCTATTAGTCTCATGTAATTACAATTTAAATAGTTTAGTTAGTTTAGATACTTTTTTTATTTAATTATGTAATTTATTATACTATAGGTGATTTTGTATTTTGTAAAGCGCTTTTGATCATATGTGCATGTAAAAGGCGCTATAGAAGTATTAAACATTATTATTATTATTATTATTATTATTATTATCATTATTATCATGGCTCACTTCGAAGCTGGGTTGGTCCTTTGGGTGTTTTTTCATCATTCGTTTACCACGATCAATACTACCTGTTTTTTCTTGCGGCTTTTATCAATTTTTTTACGATGACCAACTGTTGAAGAATAAGTCAGTAAAACTGTATACGAATTCTGCTCTCAGATCAGATATAATACTATCATTCGATAAATGTGATGGATGTGGAAATGGGAACATTTACAGCGTTGGTGTTTGGTACAAACGGAGGCATGGGACTTGACTGTCAGAACTTTTTAAGAACTCTCGCAAATAAGTTTCGAACAAGAATAATGAACCCTATGACAGCGTCATTTCCTGGCTACGAATACAACTTTCGTTTGCCATATTAAGAATTGTACACAGATGCGTAAGAGGTTCTAGAGTTCCGTTTAAACCACGCGAGCTTGCAGAAGACTTCACCCTCGCAGTAGCTGGTCTACATCTGCACTCATAATTTTAGGTCTTTATTATTTTAATAGTTTTTCCTAGTTAGTAATGCTAAATTTTTTCTTTTCTCATATATTGTAATCAGTCCTCTATCGTGAACATTAATATTAATTCTTTTAAAAATTTCCAAATACTTTAAGTGATTCTAGTGAATAAAGGTTTATTATTTTCGATAAATGTATCACCGTAACGATGAAAAGCAGTTTTCCAATCTCTGGAAAGGACGGAAAGTCAGCAGAAACGTGGGCGAACTCACTTACGCTTGGAAGTGAAGACATAACTTGCTTTTAGCTTGCACTTTCTACACTCATTGCATGCATTTTCCCATTCCCGAGTTTTTTCTCTCGCTGCAACTATCTGATGCTTGGTGGAGAGGTTAGCGAGCGTGTGATTCGTTCCGGTAACGTTGTGTCCATCCCTATAATAGTGTTATGCGATAAGCTTCGTCAGGCAGTTTCCTCTCTGCAAATTTTTTTAAATTAAATCGTTATCGTTCGGAAGGTTTTCAGTAAACTTCAGCGGACCATCGCAGCGAGGTAGACCATCAAGATCGACATTCGGCGTCAGCTTGGGCAGTTTCCTCTTCTTTGGTAAGGTTTTTTTTTTCACTATCAAGAAACTCCCCGGCAAAATCAGCGCGCTGCACTTCTCTGATTATTTGTAACTCAGAATTATTTCGTCTGCAGAGAACCAACTAACCGTTCTTCCATTTTTGTGTGGCAGTTCACGACGAATCTAAGCACCCACAATGTCACTCGCGTGAGTCGGAACTTGACCAATTTTTAGGATTCAGCTTCCACCTGTTATCTTTGACGACGTCAACAGAAACAAAAATTTGTGGTTGGGAGGCTCGAAAGGTCTTCCTCTTCTCGGTTTTGACCTTTAGACCCTCCTCGATCTTCTGCTTAAGAAATATTTTGCGGCACTTTCCTCCAAAGTTGAATTGCTTGGGTTTTCTCTAGTTGCAATTGGCGTCTTGCCATTGAATAAGAGTGACGTCATCATGGCGAGCGGACACGTCTTTCTAACCTCTGCGCTGTTGGCTTTCCTTATCCTGTTTTATCCGACTAACGTTTTTAATAGAGGTCCAAACCGATACTTGTTAACTTTCTTAATACAACGAGATGCTGTTTCTGACTGCTATTTTCCACGTAGCCTCATAAACAGCTTCTGTACTCCTCCATCACCTCCGGCTGGCGGCCATATTGGTCTATCACCAAGGAGCATTTTTAGTGCGAGAATTGCCAGACACACGTCTTCTTCTTCGACAGCTACTTTCCACCTCTTGAAGACATCGTCTGTCCAGAAAATGTTACTCTCCGGTGATATCGAGCTAAACCCTGGCCGCAAGTGCGATCAAGAAGACCAGCTACTTGATCTGCTATCTTCTCTCAGAAATAACAGAAATTGCTCTATTACAGCTGGCCATTCAAACGTCCTTGGTCTTTACTGCAACCTGAACCAAATTAGATTTCTTCTCAAGTATTCATAATTAGACGTCTTTGCCATAACAGAAACCCATCTAAATAAATCTATTGGCAACTCTGAACTCTTCATCGCTGGCTATTGTCTCTGGAGGCCCGATAGAAGGGACAAGAAAGGTGGTGGTGTCGCCTTCTATGTTAAAAGGAATATAGATTGCGAAATAATTTCTAAATATGAACGAGAAGACATGTTCTCATTACTGGCGACCTCAATGCAAACTTACTCTTAAACTCAGATACCTACGGAAAAAAGATCCGTCAGATCATGAATTATAAGAGTTATAAGAACCTGATAAAGAAACCAACTCCCACAACTGAAACTACAAATACTTTATTGGACTTGATCCTTGGTAGTGATCCTTCTGAAGTCAGAGATGCTGATGTTTTAGACTTTGCTATTGCTGACCACAAGTTTATTTATGCTGTTTATAATTTAACTCCAAAGAAACAAAAACCACTGTTCACGAAATCACAAAGCTTCAAAAATACTAACTTGGATCAGCTTAAAAAAATATTGAAGACTTTCCTTGATGGAGCTGCTCTACTTTTGAAGATATAAATGACACAACCTGGGCTTGGGACTATTCCTTTAAGAACACAGTTTTTAAGGTTGCCTAAAGTAGTTTGTAGAGACTGACAATCCCAAATAGAGGTGACGCTTTTGTACAGCTAAGTAATGCATTATATCACAGTGCACTGTTAAGTACTGTTAACTTTTATAAAAATCGAGAAAAAAATAATAAATTAAAAAGAAATGTTTTACCAACAGAAAAAAAATATTTTAATCTATGCCTGCCTACAGGAGTACTGTTATAAGGTATCTATAGCAAATCCCTATGGCAGCTTTCTTGAAATTAGGCATATGAAGTAATTGTTATTGTGATTGTCTTAGTCTGTATTTTATCTCATCTATTTTAAATAGTTTTACATAGCAGGTCCACGTCAGCTGATAGCTGCCGATGCAACTTTTACTTTAGTAATTTTTGTAATTTTAACCTGCTTTATCAAACAAAGAATTGATTGATTGATTGATTGCAGCGTGCAGATTAGACGTTGGATTTGTCTAATTAGGGAACCTTAGCATCACGTTTACGGCAAACGGCGAACCTGAGGAGGTCACGTGACCACCGCTTTGCTGTCACGTTTGCAATTTGCGGTTCCAGTTTCGACGGGCAGAAGGCGCTCCAGCCGTAAGTGACTTACGGGAAGGGTTTTTGGCCACTTAACGAAACCAACTTACGTTTGACACTTTTAGTAAGAATGTTCTACCATCTATGGATCCAACTGTGGTATTTTTGTGATTAAAAAAAAAAATGTATTTTGCATGATCTAAATGGAAGAAAGCCGAGTGGCGAAAGAACTTGAAAACAAAATGGCGGCTCAAAGTTCCTAAACATGTACATGCAAAGAAGCACAGTTATGGAGTTCTGTATCAATGTATGCCTTATTCCATTTCTAGAAAATGCCTTTTAGATAGCCAAACACTTGCCAAGAGGTGATGCTGGCGACCGAAGCGGCCCAGCGAAGGCCAAAATGTCCCGCTGATTAAAGGAAATTCCGAGAGTATTTTCTCCTATCTTTTCGGAAGACAAAAAACCCGTCGTGCTCTCAGGGCGAGCTTGTAGAGAAAGGATGAATGGCCTTATCTCAAAATACCATGAAGAAGATAAAAAGGCTCTTAAAAGGTAGGCTTTTCCCGCCAAAAGACGTCAACGCCATGCTAAATTCAATTTTGGTGACGACGGTAAACGGGAAACCGCTAGCAGCCGTTTGCCGTTTGCAGTAAACGCGATGCTAAAGGTCCCTATTCTGTTCGCCATGAACGGACGCCAGAACTTTTTTTTTCTTCCCCGCAAATCTAAGAGAGAAAATCCTTGCTATATGAACAGAAATATACGTTTTCTAAAGGGATATCTAAAGCTTTTTAAGGTGGTAGCTGATATACGGCTGCCGATAACTCCAATGGCGGTGTTGTCTTTGGCGTGAAAGGAGCAACCTTAGTTCTTTGTAGTGCTCTTAATCGTAGATATATCTCAGACTGCTTACTGTTCCATTAGCACTGTTTCATGCTTCCGCGAGGGTGAGGACGCTATTACACTTTTGACTCTCTTAAACTTCAACTTCTAAGGATTGTGATTTCTTTCAGGATCTCCAACTCTGAAAACCCACTAGGTGTCGTGGTTGAGGTTAATTGCGAGTGCTCTGAGTTTCTATGGAATGGCTGATAGCACCTCCGGAGAGTAAATTAATTAACCAAATACGATCTTCTTTCCTGCTTTATTCTACATATCTTGAAGTTCTTTGAAGAACTGGATTCCGCCATCACTGTCATTCCAGTAAACCCCAAAGAGTTGTTCTTGTATGTTGACTTCTGGACAATTTCGGAGACAAGAGAGAAATTCTTTCTGTTATTTCGTGATGTTTCCGATCCTGAGACAAAAACTGGACACGAAGCCAATGCGTCTCTAAAAACGACGTATTGAAAGTCATATTGATCAGGTTTTCCATCACCTTCCAAATTTCTCCGACAAAATCCAAACATCAAACAGTCTATAGACGGAATGCGTGCTTTTAAGCAAATTTCACTGACGTCGCATCTAATGGCTACTTTAACGTGGTGAAAGCGCTGGAGATCTTCGAGCAGATTTGCCTCAAGCTTGGGGATTGGTAGCATTTATATCTTAAAGATGTATCTTGAAACTTTGCTCTAGCATAAGATACGCTTCTTGCCTTTGTATTGGACCTCTCGGGAAGGCAAACAGGGAGGTGAGGGAGGTACCACGGACATTTCGGCTCTTTTTGGTTTGAGGTACACTAAGAATTAAACCTTTTCGAGGTAAGACGCGATCAAAAACTGATAGTCCTTTCCGAGCAAATGTTGGCGAGTTGAACACTTTTCTGTATTTCTAAGGCGGCTGAAGGCCATCTCATAGCTGTTTGGTAATGTCGGACTTTCGTGCTTGTAAGGTGTGAACGAATGACCTGAACCTTATCAAGTACTATTTCCTCCTCTCTCTTTACTGGTATTGCACAATTCTCGTGGATGCCTAAGGTGTTAACTTCCCAAAACTAATTCATAGAATCGTTCAGTTCGTTAAATGCCTTTGATCTGCCAAAAAGAGGTACAGGCGAGATTAGTTCTGTGAGTTTCCTTCCGGACAGCCAATATTCGACCACCCCAACGGCCCCAGCCTGGCGTTTAGTTCTCCCAGTTGTACTCTCAAGTCAGCCTTTAGCCATATGTAGAATCATGACATGGTCTGTGGAATGTTCTTCAAAACCTGTAAAAAGGAAACTTACAGATTCAAGTTCACTATGTCGCTTATATTCGAAGAGAGCAACTGCTGTGCTAACAGGGGTATCGGCACACTTCTCAAGTTTTTGCCGTTTAATTTCTTTCTTGAATTGATTCAATTTTCTTAATTCTCCCAGATAATTTTGTAGTCTATTTCTTTTGCCTCCAAACCTTCTTTTGAGAGTATTTTTCGCCCCCTCGCATGCTTCCTCTGAAGAACTAAATGTTAAATTAAATGTTAGCCATCTAATCTCTTCGAGATTTCAATCCGCAGATAAACTCAAATGCCAACAGGTCCAACAGGGCCGGGATGAAGGCATCGGAATTTTACTTTCTTTCAGCAAAATATTGCATTCGCCAGAACCGATCTTTGCCTGCGAGAAAACCTTTCGACGGCGATTTTAGAGGCAAAGAGAAAGGAGAATCCTTGACTGTTACAGTCTCTTTGTCCGTAGACTCGATGATTTGTCGAGAACTAAATTAGATTTGGTTTGATTTGAAATGATTTTCTGATTGCATTAGGGGCCGTAATTATTTCCCCAGTCCGTACGTAGGGACTGTTGCAACATTGAGAACATTGAAAAATGGGCATCTTTTGTAACGTTGCAAAATATTTGATTCGCATAGTTAAGCCACGAAATCAACATCAGATTGCTTAAAAACACCTTTAGTTTGCCAAGAGAGTTAAAATTTTCCTCTCGATATACTTAAATAGGGGAATTTTAACATGTTCTGACCACTATGAATCCCCATCGGCCGATGGCGGAAAATAACCTTGATTTAGAAGTTAAGTTTTGAGATTTGGGACCTAATTGACAACTCTATCCTACACTGCCGTTAAGTTTATACCTTTATAGGCAAACACATGCAAAAACCCTTGAACGTTTTCGACTTTTCAAAAGTTATGAGAAAACCCATGACACACCTTCATTCATGCTTAAAACAATTGTTACAAACAAGTTTTAACGCTTGCCACTCAAGTCAAGAAGTACATTTCTAGAGCAACAACTTTCTAGCAGAATGTCAAATGTTATGCAAGATGACCTCGAAAAGGGGATCTAGGGCAGTTATTAATTTGTAACAGCTATTTTTTAACCCTTATTTTGTGTTTCCGTGCAGCAGTTTGTAATCTGTTTCCATCGCTAATATGTCAGCACTGACTGGCTTATTAACATCCTATTTTAATATAGATGCTCTATGCTGAGTACTTAGCCCAAAATCTTTTTGTTAGAATTAAAAGAGAGACAAGGCTATGAATACGTTTCTTCCCTTCACACTCCTAAAAATATGTGTTTATTCCTTTATTTTTGTCATGTAAAGAATGTTCGGCACCTCTTGGTATGGAAAGTCACCACATCAAAGATTCTCAAATCACTGCATCTTCACAATGGGATGGAAATCATGCAGCAGTCCAAGGAAGATTGAACTTTAAAGCTGGTGGAGGCAAACAAGGAGGATGGTCAGCTCGTCCGAACAATGAAAATCAATGGATCCAGGTAGCTCTTAGCAGTTACACTAAATTAACAAGTATAGCGACACAGGGAAGGAATGCTTACAAACAGTGGGTAACGGCGTACCAGCTGCAGTACAGTGATGATGGAATGAACTTCTACTACTATAAAGTACCAGGACATAGTTCACCAAAGGTAATGTCGAGCCCATCAAAGTACACACTTGACAGCTTTATTTTTTCTTTGTCTATTATGATCTTAGGCAAAGTGGATGAGCCATAAATTCGATCAGTAAACAAGATTCCGTTCTTTCAGTACTGAGCAAGGAAACAAGTTGAGTAAGATATTTATCGTATGTGTAGATTCAAATGGAGGGGAAAGGTTCCAATTGAAACAAACTTTTCAATTTAGGGGGTCATCAGTAGTGAATACGGCCCACCTAACTTACTCATCATATCAGCGAGATATATAATAAATTGCTCTCAAAAGGAGAGTGTAAACTTCAGTCTTGAATCCTTTTACCTTCATTTATTACTCTATGTTCTTAGTTTTCGCTGATGATAAAGTTGAATCATTTGCCAATGTTCCCACTATATTTATTTCACGATACAAAACAAATTTTTGATTAAGTTCATTTTGTATGTGACAGACACTGGAGGGAAATAAAGACATGGACAGTGTTGTTTATCACAAGCTGAACCCACCAATCCAAGCTCGTTATATAAGACTCCGACCAACAGATTGGTATGCTTATATATCATTAAGGATGGAGCTTTATGGTTGCCGAGGTATGAAAAAGAGTAGACTATTAAAGTGCAAGATATTCCGGGAAACACGTTAATTCAGAATCTCATATTTAACTGAATGCAACAGTATATTGCAAGAAAAAGTTTTCTCCTTTATTTGAAATTCAATCCTTAGTAGTTTACGGCGCCTTTATGGGGATTACGTAGAGGCCTGGGTCCGAGTGTCTCGGCCGAGTGAGGTCTAATTAGTTATTCATACCGCGTAGGTACACGAGGGGTTTTAGGGTATCATTATTATTATTCATACGGGGTAGAGATAGGGTTAGGGATCACTATTATTCTTTCCACGTGGGTGTGCGAGGGGATTAGGGTTTTAGTATTCATAACACGTATGTTCGTGCGTAGGGTTTCATTTTTTAAAAATTAACGGTACAGAAAAGTACAAAGGGAACAAAAGACTCCAAGATGGCGGAGAGATTAAGTAGAACATTGGCTTTCAAAAATTTATTGTTACAAGCCTTTCCCATGGAATGGCAAGATATTATGCAAGTGTATCCTGAGGCAACTCAACGACCCTATGGGTATATCACCTTGGATTTACATCCTGCTAATAAGGATGCTCACCGCGTATTCAGTCATCTTTTGACACATGAATGATGTATGCGATTGTATCCTAGAAAAGTGAAACCTTAAAACAGCCCTACACATTGGTCAGAAATTATTTAGGAACAACCACCAGCAAGTACACATCGAGAAAACTTATAGTGTGTGTGTGTGACCATGACTGATAATTCTCGGGATCTAGATGTCTTTGGCGAACCACTAGAAGAAGATGAAGAGCCTGAAAACACAGATGATGAAGACAATGATGATGAAGGTGAAGATGAAGACAAGGATGACGGTGACGAAGATGATGATCATGACAGTGTCAGTGGGTCAGAATTAAAACAGGAAGTGAAAGATGATATGAAAACAACTTTGGCTGAACAAGAAGAAGAACAGGAAAAAGAGGGCGCATCCGAGAATGACAATTCGCTCTTACCATTAGCTAGGCGTAAGTTGAGAAGGTTATACTTGCATCGTCTAAAGTGGTATAACCGTATTAAACAGGATAAAATACATAGGCAAGTCATGCATACCGCTCGACGATTGATGAATGAAGACGGTATGGATTGGGAGGAGGCATTAGAGGCTGCCGTGGACAGGAGAAAATTCCTCTTGAATCTTCTGATCAACAAACCGTTATCGGATGAAAGTGATGATGATGATGATGAAAAAGAGGAGGAAATGAACACTGTGTAACCGCTGTAGTAGGGGGATAGTATGCGAGTATTTTAGTATGCGAAACAAAGACAAAATATAATCACGTTCTAAACAAGTTCTTTGTCAAATTTTATTTATGACCATGCTAAGTTTAGAATGTACATCATCTGCTAGTCCATCTATTTCTCCGTTATTAGAAACTTCTATCACATCAAACTCTCTGAGTGTTACCTGCGACACCTCTGTGTTCGATTCTACCAGTGTGTTCAATGGATCTGTCTTTGCAGACGTGGTCTACAGTCATTTATGGTTGTAAAGGAGGGTGCTCGGATTTTCTCTTTTAACTTATAAAGACGAGTTCTCTCTGCTCGCTGCTTTCTCTTCTTTTCGAAGACTCTACAGGAGAGGGAAATCATACATTTTAATATATTTTATATTTCTGCGATAATTGTCTTAAACACTCAGACTTACTTGTTATCATTAGTAAACTTCCATAGCTGATCTGGACGAATCACGGTCCATCCATATTCTCCATTATCAAAACACTTCATACTCAAAAGAGTACAGCTCACGTTATGTCTCCAATCAATCTCTCTTCTCTCTTTCTCTCTCACGAATTTCGGGAAGTTTGCTTCAATGAAGTCACAAATTTGATTAGGGAACATACCCCCTTTTACTGTACTAAACTTAAGACCGTCGACTCGATCCCTCACAAAATATGAAACCGGTTGGCTAGAACTTAGAATAGCCTTTGCAATGACAGTCACATATGTCACGACGCTCATTTTTTGTCCTAAAAGACATGCGTCCTGTATCACCTGTACCACATGCGTATGACATACTTTTTGGTAGCCTATAAATACCCCTTCTACTCACAGTCTTAGTCGGTTAGATTAGTAACCCGCGAAACTAAAACGCGTTATATCGGGTCGTTCTTTTTTAATCTCGTACCTGAATTTTTTAACAATACTTAGTAGCTGTTTGTTCATTGCGTTCTCGACGCAGTAATTCAGGTACGAATCCTGGTCACGACAACTTTTTTCCTTTTATTCTAAAATGTATTCAAAGCATAAACATTGGTTACGTGAAATAGTGGAAGAACCATTGGACATTTCTTAATCATGTCGGACACGATACGCCAAAATTTGCTGTGATTGAAATAGAGAGTAATCTAGATGTCATTTCGTTTGCATCAAATTTACTCACTCTCACAATTGAATTATTCTTCACATTTACTCACTCGTTCTAGTCATTTTATTCCTCAACTTTATTCAGTTCTTGGGACTCCTATACACTCGCGGTAACACACTACCACTAACAAATGTGACAGTTTAAAACAGATTATTACAGTGATACTAGATCATTCTATGTACACTCTTTCCTTCTCTTCC